ATCACTACCACCATCACCACTATTACCACAGCATCACTATTACCAGCACAACCACAACCACTATCACCATCTCCTTCACTACCACCGCCTTCACCACGATCACAGCCGCGTCTACCGTCTACCACCCCACCCGCACCATCACCCAGGCGCAATTTTCGTTCAGAAAATACCTTTTGGATATCGATTACATGACTGCACAATTCCGAAATGTGCCACACCTCAGTGGGGGATTAAAACGAGAGGAACTTGGGGCTACAGGTTACCTGAAGGAAGAGCTGAAAACATCTGAAGATCCTGAAAATTCCAGCACACGAAATCTTATATGGTACTGTCAGGAAAAAAAAAATTCGAGAATGTGAATTATCTTAATTTGTAGCATACTATTGCTTAAGAAACGGTACCTCACATCTCCATTTTTTATCTAAAATGATCTTATAACTTGAAATTTATATTCACTTCCCGGGAAGTTAAAAAATGTGCTAAATTAATATTCTCGCTTTAAAACCAAAAAACAAAATAATATCAGTATCTATTTAAATTGTGTCGAAGCGGAAATAAATAATTTTTGGGTTCTTGGAAGATAGCTAATTTTGAAATAACGTTAATGGTTTCTTGAAGCTCTGATTTGTTTGTGGTCTCATCTATGTATTTTCTGATATTGCGGGATGATTATATATGAATCTACCAGTTCTTATTCTTCTATCTACCAGCGTTCTTATGCAAGGAGCTAACGACGCATCGATCCCATGCCGCAACAGCCCTCGTATAATTCCATTTATTATACAGTTAATATTGCGTAATTTTATATTACATTTAATACAAAGCAATTATTTAGTCTGGAAGTTCATTTACTTTTTCGTATCTCTGTGTACTTGTGCTTTCAGAGCTACATGATTATTATTGACATTTATTCTGCGTGTTCTCGTGTTATTTTATAATAATCATTTTTAAATTTCCTTGTGCGTATTTTTTGGCTGCACATAATTCGTACCGTTGTAGCTGGAAGCAAAACAAAAAAACAAAAACAAATCTGGAAAATGGAGTTGGAATAAACATGTTTCTGTGTTAGAAAGCGTTATTGTCTTGCTCTCTTTAATTCATGATTTTCCCCTCATTAGGTAAATAATATTCATATGAATTGAAAATTTTATGAGTGTAGTAAATGAAGGGAAATGAATAAAAGCTTTGAAAGTTAATGATTTTTGCTCCCTTTCAAATAATTTGATATAATTCAATGTTCGTATGGTGATAAGGTCAAGAAATAAACGAATGAAATGCTGATAGAAAATCTAACCTGAAATTCTTGTCATGTTAAATATCTTCTAGTAATCTAATAAAGTTTGATCACTCTCATACTTTTTGAAAAGAATTTTGAATGTGAATATTTGCAAAGCATTGCCTTGAAGACATTCATCTGAAACAGTGCCTTTCATGAATGAAGCACGATTTCTTTGATCTAAAAGAAGAAAATCAGTGTGTTGAATATACACCCAAACCGATAGTAATGCTATTCCTGATCTAGGTAAACCTAGTTCAGGAATAATATGTCTCCGTCCGTTGCCCATATTTGAGCTAGGGTACAAGAAAAGCAGTTTTTGTCAAAAGCTCTGTTAGAAAATCTTAAAAATATATCAATATTATCTTAGCCAAAGGCTATGATTCTAGGCTCTTGTCCTTTCGTATTTTCAATTTATGTAACTTATGATTTTCACCTATTATTTTGTAAAATGTGATTTTCTATGCTAGTCATAATTGATTCTCAGAACCAATTTTATAAAATAATTATAAAAGAAATTTGAAAAATATGACAAAAATAATAGAAACAGAGTGGGGAGGAGAAATGGGAGTTCAGTGACCGCTTACCTTTAGCCAAATGCCTCTCATCGTCCGAACTTTTTTTTTATCTTCTCCAACGCGGCCATTGCTCTTCCTTCAGCCGCAGCCGCCACCGCCACCGCCACCGACACTCGCCACCGCCACCGACCGCCGACCCCACGCCACCGCCACGCCACCGCCACCCGCCGCCGCCGCCCCACCGGCCACCCACCGCCACGCCACCGCCGCCGCCCGCGCCGCGCACGCCGCCACCGCCGCGCCGGCCACGCCACCGCCACCACGCCCCGCCATTCACCAGTTCCTACCGCCTCCACCGCCGCCGCAGGCCAGACGCCGCGCCGCACCGCGCGCCGCAGTAGCGCGCGAGCGCGCGACGGCGGGCCGTGTTATTGATTTGTGCTAACTGGTATTCTCGCGTCCGCCGCCCACGCCCCCGCCAGCCCCAAGCCTATGGCGCTCACCCCTCGACCCTCTCCCTCGGCCCCTGCGCACGTAACGAACCCCTCTGATAAAAGAGCCGCTATCAGCCCCCTAAAGCCAACTTCCACTAAAAAATCTTGAGACGCACGCCAGGCCAGCGCAAGCGCTGGAGCCTCCGCCACCCGCAGAGCCTGGGAACCTACGCGAGCCCGCTTCGGAACCGCTTCGCCTATAAGCCGGAATGGCGTTCCTCCATCCTTCCAATCCGCATTAATATGCGTATACGTCTCCTAAGTGACTTACACAGAAATCTTATTTTTATTTACTTACAAACACTTGTTAAACATATTATAAGAGTTCTCGCGGATTTAATAATGGGACATACTCGCCTATCACGCCCTGAGAACAATCTTTGTTGTGAAAATGAATTATTTGGATGTGAAAGATTGATCATTTGGCTTAAATTCTGTTGCATGTATCTACGTCGTTGACGGAATTACAAATTTTACTGTTTTGGAGCCAAATTTGGTATAAGTTAAGCCATGAACTGTTTAAAATAACTTGGTGGTGAAACATGATGTACTCACAATTCTCGTAGAGTATTTATATCGTTTCGATTATATGGTTGATAATTAAGTAAGTTTATATATTATGAAACACTTCAGGCAAGTTCTTATTAAACAAGTATTCTGTCGTCTTATTATGCTACTACGCTTCGTGACATAATTATATATATATATATAATATTATAAATATATATATGAAATAGTATATATATATATATATATAAGTACGCCCACTGCGAAACGTTCGAAACCAATCACGTCTCTCCATATCTGAGCGCACATTCGTGATCATCTATACCAGTGGTTATCCAGCGAGAGTCTATATAGACTCTCTGGGTGTCGAATGAATATTGAATATCAGAATGCAATTACATCGCTACTAAACTTCAAGAATACATTGATTAAAAAAAGGTATTAAAGAACTAACTAATTATTTTTCTCTATGTATAGCAACAATCCACTTTCACTCTTTCCTCTTTGATACCGTACGGCTCATCGACGACCATAGCATGCGCCAGCGCCAGGCCGCCGGAAAAAGGACCTTAAGGTATGGCCCCCGCGGAGATTGGTGATGGGACAAAGATAGACAAATTCGCCCCTACTGTTTTATTTATGCCTTTGCGATCAGCAGTATTATATTATACAATTAATTTCCACGATAATAATAAAATAATAATAATATAAATATAATTTAATAAAATATTTATTTGGGCTGACAATTGGCTTGATTGCCCAGTTGTAGCCACAACACCCTATTGTACAATATAATGAACATTTATAATACAAAAACAATTACCAAATAAAAAATTACATACACTGTCTTTCGAGCAATTAACACTCAATATATAAAACATAACACAGACCTGTAACATTCATATGGACACATATATAACCTCATACACACCCAAACCATACAACTATATGACATCCATGCCAGAAAGCATTGCAGAAAGTATTTTACTTGGACGACGTGGTTCTAAACATATCACATACACAACACAAGCTTAGACAACTCAAAAAAAGTATAAACTGTGTGTTCACAACGATATCATTGCGAGAAGGCGAGCAAAAATTTGTAATTTATTGATTTGTTTTGTTGTCTTCATCAGAAAAAACACCCTGCAATACGTTAATAAGAGAAATGAGTGACCAGTTAAAAAGCTCAACATTTATCAAAAATCACTCAGCAATGGAACATCATCTGGAAACTCAGCTACTCAGAATTGGAAGCGTCTTCTATTTAAAAGAAAATATAATATATATATCAAAATTAGGATGCGCAATTGTAATTTTTAAGACATTACGTGCAATTCTTTGTGTTACAATTACATATGATAAATATATAGAGAATAACGTAAGGGGTCAATGGACCAATATTTTTTTAAGGGTAATGAACGAAAACGGTTGGGAAATCCTATCTATACGAATCCGAGAGGCCATACTAGGTTTAAAAAGGCAGGATATTTCGATTTTGGGAGACACTTTACACCAAAGCACAAAGCATTTTCAAAATTTTCGCTCCAGATGTAGCGAATAGAATTTTAAAAAGAATGGCGTAAGTTTCATTGAGATCCCTGATTCTTTCGAAAAATGGCAAAAAGTTCAAATTTTTTCGGCGTCATTCTACAAACAATATTGAGTAGAGTAAGTTAATAGTTTTGTCATTAAGCAAATTGTTGTTCAAAAATAGATCTCGAAATAATAAATTTTTTGAAAATACGAAAAGTTTTAATGTGATTTCGCCGTGAAATATACTCACTTTCTACATAATTTCGAAGGGGGGTGGGCAAAGACCGAAAGCTAGCCCAAACTAAAAGAAATTAGAAAACTAACAATACATCTTTGCCATTTGTAGAACCACTAGTTTCTTTTCTAAATTCTTGTACTCATTAAACTGTAATTAAGCATATCCAGAGAATAAATTATTTGGTTGAAAACGATCAGATTAACTATTACTAAAAGTTTAAGATATTGATATCTTAATGTGTGCATTGAGTCAAGCTCAGTTATATATTATGTAATATTATATGTACCGATTAATCTCCAATGACAATGAACTTAAAACAAACAATTTCTTCAACATAAATGTGTTTTTATGGGACCGTATTATCGTAAATTCCAACATCAAAGAAAAAATAAAACATATATTATCTTTGAAATTACGGTCATTCCGTCTTCTGTTTTGGTCAGACACGAAATTTAGTATCTATATGCATGTAGGTGAAATCTCATACGCACGCTTTATTTAAACGAAACAACCGTTTTTTAATTCATACAGTCAATGTTTCCTGTGTTGTCTCATTTACCAGCTACACGCGCACGATTAGCATTGCTTTATTAGATCGGAAGGGGGAGAATTTTTCTCATTCTGACGATGTCTTTTCAGCTCACAAAAACAAATAAAACAAATAAAAACATTATTATTTTTATAGGACAATGCCGTGAGAATCTGTATGAAACGTTTTATTCCAGCGTTACGAAAGTAAAGTGTTGGCGTTAAACTAATTGAGCCTCTTAAAAGTATGGACTTTCATTTATTATAGCAATTAATTAAATTGACTTTATTTATTAACGTGTTGCTTCGTTCTAATAAGTGAGAAAACGCGATATCAGCGTACACATTTTAAAATTAAAAACAACAAAAAACAAATATTATATTATCAACGTCCTGTAGCTGAATTAGTAAATGTTACAGCATTACAATACTACATTTATAAGTATAAATATACATATATAATAAAATATTAAATCAACACAATAATGCATTGGATACAATATTAAATCAATACAAAAATAATACTAAGTGGAAGTTATATATTAGAACGGCAATGATGTCAAATGTCCAAAATACAACTTTAAAAATGATTATCTACATTTTGTTGGACTGTCGCACAGTTCACACGTGGGATCTCTCTTT